AGGAAGCTGTAAATATGGCCACATTGTGTTGTTCCCAGCCTGATACCTGGAGACTTTTGAAAATCAAAATCTTGGACTCTTTCTATTTGCAGTGGTGGGTTTCTGATTCATTTAGGGATATCAAAACAGGATGTTACAGCAAGCGGTGTATTCTAGGTGTTCACTAGATCTCCATTGTAAGTGCTGAGAATGTTTTGTTAAAACTCTTTTCCAGCCCTCCAGCCTTTGCTGCTCCCTGTGCCAGTCAGAACCCAGCTTCTCACCCACATCCGGACGATGCTGAACAGCAGGCGGCATTCCTGTTGGCGTGCTCCGGCAACACACTACCTGCCTCTTTGCCTCCTGTGAACATGTATGACCTTTTTGAAGCTTTGCAGGTATGTTTTGGCTCCTTAAGGTTTACCTGGATTTCTTGGTACATTAATGACCCTGAATCTACAAAGATACTTTTTCACTTTATTCTTTTTATGGTCAACAGTAGGAGCCCCATTTTAAAATCCCCAAACCCTGTAATTCTTCCTAATTTATCTCATCTTCTGCTTCTTATTAACAAAAATCCCATCCCAAATAATTCTATAGTTCTTTAAGTTTTGAATTGTTATCACGTACATGCATGTGGGTGCAATGTGTCATGGGTTGCGTATGGTCAGAGGACAACTTTGTGAGGCCATTTCTTTCCTTCCACCTTTATTTATCTGAGTTCTAGGGGTTGGACTCTTGTAATCAGGCTTGCATGGCCATTATCTTTTACCTGCTGATGTCCCACAGACACGTTTAGCTTTCTTATTATCTGACTTGGATTTGCTTAGGTGATCATAGGTATGTAAGTCAGGAGAATTTTTTTTAATGCAAGTTGTATTTTTGAATGATGGAAAAATAAGTCCACTGAAGTGTAACAGGAAACATGTAATTTTCAAATCCCAGGTCCACAGGGAAGTCATTCCTACACATACTGTGTATGCCCTTAACATTGAAAGGATCATCATGAAACTCTGGCACCCCAATCATGAAGAGCTACAACAGGACAGAGTCCACCGCCAGCGCTTGGCAGCGAAAGAAGGACTTTTGCTCTGCTAAACTAGAACTTGAAGATTTGGGATCATCACTAAGTTAACTGGTTCCTGAAAATGGAATGCTTTTGCGTCCACATTTCAAAACTGAAGTGTATAGTGTATGTATAACCTTTCCTATGGAAATGTGACATTGAGTGCATTTTGTGTTGCTACTGTGAAGCCATTAATATATGTGACTGATGACCTACCTGTGTGTCTCTGTGTCCCTAGATAAAGGAGCAAACATTGTGCGGTGCCTGAATAGGGATATTAAGTCAGCTGAGGTGTAGAACCTCTGCTCTGTTGGTAAGATAGATGACATCATAGAATAAAGATGCTATTGTAGCTCAGTCCCCATGATTAGCAGGACTGTGTTCAGTGATGTGTGTTCTGTATCAGGCAGTTTAAAATATGCCTTTCCTGAAGAACTGTACTCTGCATATTGGTGGAATAACCGTGTTAGTCAGAACCTTTTAGTGACTAGTTAGCAGCTAGGGGTGTTAGCAAGCAACCCCGTTTTCACTCCAGAGAATAGGATCTGGGTATGTGGTTTTTTCTTCGCATTTATTACTCTAGTCCGATTCTTAGAATGCAGTTATCCTTAGTGTTCTCTTGTAATTCACTTGTAGCAGTAGTGTCCAAAGGCGGGTAAACTTGTTAATCCCATAGAGTATTTTCGTTAATCTTAGAAACTAATTTTCCTATTTCTACAAAATGTCTGTTTTGCCCTTTCAGGTGGTACTGTGAGCTTACAGTTGACAGTGTTAGTGGTAACCAACTTGTTTTAAAGCTATGTTGCTTTTCATTCATGTAGTATTGATGATAAGTTAGGTGTATAGATGGGTTTTCAGAGGCCAAAACAGTAAGTACATGTTTTTTTGTGTTCCTGTATCTGGATCTGTGGATTTGATTTTGTATTTTAAATGTGACAAATAAACATTTTGGGAGAAATTCTGTTTATTCAAATAAGCAGGTAAGGATATTATCGTCCACAAAAACTGAAGTCCAGCCATATGAGATTTTGGCTCAAACACCAAAAGAGCCAAAGGCAGGTTCCTGAAGGCCTGCATTTAGTAGTATGTGGCCTAAAATAAAAATAAATAAAACAGCGAAAGCTGTTCTTGGCACAAACCTTTTAGGGAGTCAGGTGGGTGACTTGTAGGGGTTGGAAGGGTTTGGAGTGATAGGCACACTCCGCAGGTATGTGAAGGCTCCCCGGGGTGTGTATGTGTGCATTCTCCTGAATTCACAGGAAGCTCTAAGCCGGAAACTTCCCTGGCCAATACTCAGTGACCTTTCCAGTGGGACCAGAGCTCCAGATCCATGGCAATCATTTTATCATGTTTTGAGATTTATGTAAACTGCTTTTTCCTTTTTAAAATGTTTCCTTTAATGTTGTCTTCTTTTCTTACAAACAGTAACCAGTTCTCCTGACTCCCAGCCAGCTCTTCGTCTCCAGCCCAGCCCCTTCAAACATTTCTCCAACAGTCTGGTCAAACAGTCCCTTCTCCCAGCTTTTCCAGTACTAGCGACTCCAGACTCCAGCTCTTCTAGCCTGTCTGCTCAGCTCAGCTTCTCCTGGCTCAGCTGTCACCTCACTCTGCTAGCCCAGTTCACTTCAACTCTACTTTCACTCTGCTCAATCTCTTCTCTAGCCCTACACAATCTTTCTTCCTGCACCAGCTGTCTTCTCTGACCCCACTACTACTTTTTCTCAGCCTCCGCTGGCTTTTTATATCCTCTACTGTTCCCAAAAGCCCAAGAGGCAACCAACACTGAAGGTCACAGGGTCAACTGGGGATCCTTTAAAGGGCCAGGCGCTCAAAAAAATCACACTACAGATTTACATTCTGGTCTGTCTTTCATGCCAGTTGTCAAAAGATTTTCTGAATTAGGTAGATGGGGTTGGGTGTAAAGTAGGGACATAAGATATCAAGAGTTCCTGTAAAAGAAAGATTTCAATTTTTGTGTTCACCAACTGCTGGCTCCATTTCTGATATCTCTGCCAGTTATGAGTCTATGTGCAGTCCACCATAATTAAGAAGTAATAAAGTGTCAAGGATAACTTAGGAAGTTAGAAACTACACAATTAGCTGCTCCCAAATTATCTGTATTGTATGTTTTTAGTAATGTGTTTGGCCACAGGCGTGACTATGTAACAGCCTGCCTTGCTTTACCAGCCACATTGAGGACCTTAGCCATAGCAGCACCCCTGCACTGTCACACTCTGCTGTGACCAAGTCCACCCAACATGTCTCCGTTGCCTAAAAGCACACAACAGAGGCCTGTGAATGTGCTTTCACTTGAGAAATTTATGAAAATAGGAAAGCCTTCTGTCCATCAACCTAGCACTGTAACTTTCGCGGCTGTCCTCCGCAGCTTCCACGGCTGTAACACTGCTAAGGCATGACTCACCAAGGAAACCTATCCAAACTCTCGTCCAACTTTTAAGAACTAGTTAAAACCCCATATCCTCCTTAATTTAAGAAAAAAAAAAAATGCTTGTACCACTTGAAGGAAGACTGCTTCAACAGTATGATGTATTACTACCAGATCTGATAAGTCATGTATAGGCAATAGCTTACCATTTAACTTTCGACAATACCAGCAGATAAATAAAAACACCAGAGCCTATTGTCTTTATTACCAAAGTTTATTACTGGGATCAGTTTCTATCTAGTAGGAAGTACCAGTCATAATGTGCTATGGTAATTCTCAGGAAATGGCTACTCTGCTCCACAGTTGTACTGGGGCTGTTAGGCATAGATCATTTGAGTCAGCGGAAGAATGTGCCAGAAGACCCTGACAGCAGAACCATCACTCCAGAAAAGTTCCAGTGCTATGTAACCTGATGAGTAATGGTATGGGATGAGAAAGGAGTTAGACCCATTGTCTACTCTTCATTAGATAACTGGCTTATGTGTGAAAAGCCAAACATCTTTTAAGCTCTCAAGCAAGAGAAATACTAAAGTCAGGGAAGAGGACTGTAAGTTAGGAAACAAAAGCCCAAACCTGATGGAGAGAAGAGTTTAGATGGCATTTAGGGATGACAAGACGGTACCAACAGAGCTAATGGGAAATCAGTTCAGATCTTAGACGTCACTGTCATGTGTTCAGAACTCAAGCTGGGCAGGTTTAATGACTGATTAAAACATGAGAAAAGTGAACGACACAGGAGAATGAGTACCTGAGTAGAAACTGGTGAAGATGTCAAAAACAGTACAGTATCCACATGAGCTGAGTGGAGGAAGAGTGGTCACAGCAACCTGCTGGCCACACTATTTGGAATGACAGATCTAGCAATGGCTTTGCCTATGAGGTTCTGGGAGAATTTTTGTAGCACATAGCTTTGAAGGAATGTTTTTCCTAATAGTCGACTTACACAGGAATGCACATGACTACTGTGGAAAAAGTCAGTGACTCACACCTGTTCTTATAGGCTGAAGTCTGAAAACAGCTGTGGCTTAAGGCCCAATCCTCCCACTGCCCTTTTGACAAAAATATTAAAAGGACCAAGTATGAGTCAGTGGGCTTGTTCTCTGTAGATGGCAGAGGATTTAGAGACTTCTGCAGGCAGCTTAAAAAGCAAAGGCTTGTGCACCACGGACTGCCTCATTACAGAGGACAACGGGGAAAGTCGGGTCATTAAATAAGACCCTAGAAGGGCTAGCTGCCTACCACTTGGGAAGGTCAGTGTAACAGCATTATTTACGTCAAACTCTTCATCTTCCATACTAACCTAGTTTACCTAGAAAGAGCCATCTTCTGCACCAAGACAGCATCTCCACTTTGCTGTTATCAATATCTCATTCCCTCTGTGAGGAGACAGGAGTGCATGAATGACGTGTTTCTACAAAAGCTTTCCTGTTGTTGTGACCTGTATAGAAACACTTCTACTGAAGCATCTGCAAAGGTATATATATATATATATATATATATATACTTGAGGTTTCTTCTCCACAGAAAGGACACCACGAGAGCTGTGGTGATAGTGCATCTTGGTGTTAGACAGGTGTTCTCTTCTCCAGAAGATACCCTTGTTCACTTGTGTTTACAGGCTTCCATAATGGGCAGATGGAGCCAGCTCTGAAAGAAGAAATGGGCATAAAGTTTCTTCTCTAATCCTGTCACTGAACCTAAGGGTCCTATACTTGGCTGACACCTGACAGGTGGGCAGGACTGTCGTTGATGGGTGCTCATGCTGCTGTCCAGACCTAGAGAGCCCCACTGACCTTTCTGGTCCCTCTGCAGCCATCTTCTTAAAATTTTTTCTTCCAACTGTTTCAGTTCCATTTGTTGGAAAACAATGAGAACCTATGTATGAATTAGCTTGGATTTCTGGATGTCTTTTAACAAAAATAGTATCCTATTCCACAACAGTAGGTGGTTTAATGCCTGTATCTCCTGAACTCTCCACTTTGCTGTGAATCCTGTCTGTTTCCATCACTCCCCCAGCAGCTGTGGATAGTAGCATCTGGAGGAATAGAAACGCATGCTGTTGTGAGGTGTGAGTACCAGTGTGAACAGCATGGCTTAGCACGGTTTTCTGCACTTTCCTTCTCTGATAGTTTTTGACTGGGTTCCTGGAGTGGCAAGTTGCTTAGAAAATTGAAAATGTTTTCTAACAGAGAGGGAGAAAGCAAGAAAAAAGACAAAACAACTGCAACTCAGTCAGATATCCAACTGGGGCAGGAGAGTGGTCAGCAGAAAAGGAGCCTGAATCCACGGGGCTTTAGAAAGAGTAGGGGCGTGGGAAGACAGCATTTTCAGTTTTAAGTGCTTATTCTGCCCTAAGTCTAGGGCTCAGTGTTTAGAGTACGATGAGATAGGAGAGCAAGAAGAAGGGATATGCCACTAAGGAGTCTGTGCTTACACAGCACAGAGGGTGGAGATTTCTGTTAGCCTTGTCCTTGCATGGTGGAGGTGGGGGGCAGAAGTAAGATGTAACAATAGACTTATTTTTAAATCAAGTAAAGGTACATTAAGTTAGTTTTAGTCCTCTCGTTAGAGCTGGCCACTTTTCGAAGTATGCAGGTGGACTGAAGGAAAATGAGAATGGTGTAAGTTGCCTGTGCTGTCCCTTACTCAGGCCCTCCTGCTTGCTCAAGGTGTGTGTACAGGGGATGTGGGATTTTGCTAGGGTGGGCTCTGCTAGGCTCCCATCCCGTTTTCTTCCAAAGTTGCCCCTCTTCTGCATACCACCCCACTTGACCTTAGGCGCTCACTTTCCTCACTAGAGGACTGTTTCTGAGGCAGAGTCCTTTTTCTGTGCATGTGTGAGTGTGCAGGGGTCTGTGTGCATCATATACATGCAGAGCTGGCAGAGGTCAGAAGAGGGTGTTACATCCCCTGGAACTGGAGTTACAGCTGGTTACGAGCTGTTGTATGGGCACTGGGAAATGAACCCCAGTCCTCTGCAAGAACCAACGGTAAGCACTCTTTAAACTGCTGAGCCATCTCTCTAACCCAGGATTTACTTTTAATGACATAAATAATGTGCTTCTCTGTGTGAAAAGGGCATGTGACTGTGGGTGCACTGGAGTCTAAAGAGCTCATTGGACCCCCGAAATGAGGGTGCAGGTGGTCATGAGCTGCAGGATCCAGGTGCTGGGAGTCAGATTCTGGTCCTGTGCAAGCACAGTATGCTCTTAACTGCTGAGCCAGCTTTGCAGCCCTTCAAAGATTCAATTCAAGAACACCTTCCTTCAGATATCTGCTGACAACAGGAACTGACTGTAATGGCTCACCCCAGCTGAGGTTCCATGGACTAAGATGTTTAGAAACTCTCAACATTCCCTAGATGAAAGCAAGCAATACATATCACCATCTCCCTGGTGAGCATGAAAATTATAACGATCTCCCTAGTACATGCCTGGAGCCTAGAGGTCACTGTACTAAAGGCATACTCCATTCTCTCCTGAGTCATGGTCCTGCACATCAGCAAAAGGCAGTGCAACTATGTAAGTAATGCAAGCAGACAGACTGCACGTCAGAAGAAAGTCGTCTCTTCAGACAACCTTCCTGGGAACCAATGTCGGACTATGCTCTTTGGGCCAAGTAACTTTCTGCAGTGGAGCTGCTCTCATGTGAAGGGTTCGGACTGCTCCTTGCCCATCTTACCCATTGATTACATGAGCACTCCTGGATTCAGGCCACAGGACAAAATACAGATCTGTTTCTGATGAGAGGGAAAGTGCTGATCTGTCTACACTGTGGCATGGCAGGCTTATTTAAAGAGAACTTGAAAAGAGAAAACTAACACCCATAAAAAAGGTAAGTGCTAGACATGACCAGGGGTGTCAGTGGTGGTGGAGGAGCTATTCCTGACCAGTTACCTGAGTCTTCTCTCAGTTGCCCTCAGCCACACTTGCAGGATCACATTCTTTTGGTGGTTCTCTGGGCAACTCGCTCTCAATTTCCCATAGGACGTCACCTTCCTCCTCTAAGTTGCTGGATATGTGGCACTTTCTGAACCCCTGCACAATTGATTCACTTGAGATGCTGTTCCATGCAACCATGACCCACTCCAGGAAGAGGCCCAGGGGTGGCTTCTTGGCGTTCCCAGTGGGGCTCAGTGCCAGGTTCCCAGCCAGAAGCCAATTGGAATACTGGGCCCGGACACTGTCATTCAGTGGCTTATAGACCACCACATCCAGAACCTGCAGCTGGGAGGTCAGGCCCCCTGGGATGATCACCATGTCTGTGTTCATACTCTCCATGGAACTCTTCACAGAGTCAGTGGCGTGGCACCGGAAGCCATTCAAGATCAGCATCCCTCGCTGTTTGGGCACAGCTCCAGTTCTCCGTCTCCACACAACTTCCAACCAGTCTTGCATCAAGTCCTCAGTCATCCACCCATAGCGGTGGCAGCGGATTTCCATGCCACTGGGGAACTTCCCAGGCGGAATGTATGTCCCCCTTAAAATGATGTAAGGGGGTAACTTCCTCCCATCAGCCAAGACACCTAGCATGGCTGTGATCCTCAGTTTCTCCCTGCCTGGCGTCTTGACCAAGATGGGCTTTTCCCCCTGGTTGTCGACAGCCACTCTCGAGGGCACCTCTAAGCAGATGGGTGTCTCGTCTGCATTGCCCATCTGTGCTACTTCATAGTCATGTGTCCGGCGCAGAGCCAGCACGCTCTGCTGGTAGGTGACCAGCTTCTCAGTCAGGTCCTCGGCCAGGTGCTGAGGGACTGGCACTTTGTGCCTCAGAGACAGGTCATACCTTCTCATCATTCTTCGACACCAGCCCAGACTTGCCTTGAACCCTTTCTCTGGAATGTTCATCTCCTGGGCAATTTCAAGAGCTTTCAACTGCATGGCCTCCCTGGTGATTGGGTCCCCTTTGGCCTGCATGTATCTGACATACTCAGCCACACGCTGGTCTACCAGGGCAAACCTTCCATTCTTGGGGCCTCGGAATGCCCGCCGCATGGCATGGGCATTTTGGAGCTGTGGTTTCACTTTGCGCCAGTCGCGAACGTTTTTTTCCAACACCCCAAACTGCTTGGCAGCCTGACAGTTATTGGTGCTCTCAGCGTACTCCACCACCATCAGCTTGAACCCTGCATCATAACTGCGACGCATGCCCCGACTGAACTGAAACTTGCTAGCTAAGTCGTCGGTCGAGAGGTCATACCCTGGGAAGCCCATGGCCATGTAGAAAGGGTACCCCTCACTCCACTCAGGCAGTTCAGTGATATCCCGAGGCAGATGCAGGACAAAGCTGTTGAGGTGCTGAGGTTGAGGAAAATGGGAGGTGGCATTCACTGCGCTTGCCCAATCTGGAGTCCTAAAGTCAGGTTCTTCATTTTCTAGAAGACAAATAAGGAGGGGCAAAAATGCCAGGATGTAAACAGTTTATTCATAGATTTGGGGGAGGTCATAAATTTTAATCTGGAGTGAATTAATTTTAATCAATTTAAAATCATAAATTTTAATCAAAAGTGAACCAAAAGTTTAACAAATAACAATCTAAGTCCTTATCTATATCCCATTAACACGAATTACCAAATCTAATTTTCACATACTGTGTGTAGAAGAGGCCATAGATGCTATGAATAGATAGATGGTCACCAAGCCATGGAAGTGACAAGAGGACTTTTAGTCGGAACTGAATATAGGTCCTAAGTCTGAAGCACATAATACTGGGGAAAGGTTCAGATGAAAGGAATGTCTGCAGGAAGGCCTGGTGACGTAGACCTGTAAACCCAGCTATCTGGGAGGCAGAGGCAGGAGAATAATAAGTTCAATGCTGCTGCACTGGGCAACTTAGTAAAATCCTGTCTCGAAATATAAAAGTAAAGGCCAGCTGGGGCTAGAGCTTGCTTAGCATGTGCATGGCCTTAGGCTGCATCCGCCCTCCGCCCCCAGCTTCACGCAGTGTTCACGTGGATGGGGAGACAAATGTATCCATGCTACTACCTAATTATCACAGAAATCTGGATATACCATGGCTGAGTCATAGCCCTTGAACCAAAGACAAACTAACAACCCTCCCCAAAAAACCCCAACCAACCAAACAAAAACCAAACCAAAACTACAACAAAACTTTTGTCAGCAAAAGTAAGCCTTTGTATAAAGCAGACACCTTGTTCCTACACAGCAAAGATGAAACTGTTTTGTCAAAATTTCCATTTGGAAGGTGGTCACAGGAAGCATGGTTTAGGGAGATTCCTGCATCTCCCAAACATAAAGGCCATCAGCTATAAAACGCACTATTATGTGCCATTAAAAGAAAAGAAAAAAGCTATGGAATACCACTCATTTTAAGAGGCATTCTCAATTGCAACGTAAAGTGAAAAGGAAAAGATGTAGAATCAGTAAAATACAACACTTTAAACCCAACTACAGAGAAAAGCAAATATATTTTGGCAATCTCAAAGCTATGGTATACATATTCACATATGTAAGTTTCAGTATGTGGTGTGGCTGTGCACATACACACATACTTTTTTCTTTTTTTGAGAGAGTCTCATATAGCTCAGGCTGGCCAAGAATGACCTTGAACTTCAGCTCCTCCTGCCTCTACCTCACAAGTATTGGGAGTAAGTGTATTTTCCCAGCCATTTCTTTTGATAAATTAGGTACTTCTTAGAAATAACTACTCAAATATGTACTGTCGCTGTTACTGCCTTTCCTACCCAGAAAGGAACAGGAAGCCTACAGTAAATACATCTACAAACGTGCTTTGTCCTTCTCATTATGCCTTAATCTGCAGAGGAATATGGCATGCTGTCAAAGTGGCCATGCCCATTCAGGTATGGACCAAATGCTGTAACAGCCTCAGTTTGCTTCATGCACACACCTGATTACACATCAAGGTGTAAACTCACAACCAATAATAAGATGGAGGCCCAGGAGAAAGGGGTTGCCTCAGTCCAAACAATACTAGAAAGGGTGATCTTTACATCCCAAAGCCTATACATAATTGTTGGGCCTCACTCCTAAATACCCTACAGAAGGCACATGGAAACCAAAAACCCAGTTTCTCTTGAGTAGATGCTGAACTAGTTTATTCAGTACCTGCAATGGTTACTCCCTGGAGCCGCCACTCATCAGATTTAGGAAACTCCTCTTCCCTTTCCAACCGACTGATCATGTCTGGCTTAGGGAATGGGAATTCTGTTCATAGGAAATAAAGTAGGGAAACAGCTGTATATTACTGGCCTCGCACAATGGCAAAGTTAACACTGCCTAGTACTCAGGACCACCTTCACTTTGTATACCCCCCACTCCCACCCCTATGGCAGAAGATGGAAACAGAGCTTGGTGATACTTAAAGACACAAGGGATTGAAGGCAAAGTCTGTCTGGGGATTTCTGAATCCCTGTCAATGGGAGCTGGTACTAGCAACAGCAAAATACAGCCACTGGCAGGGAGGTGGGTGGATCCAGCCATCAAAACAATCAACATTTTGGAACCCAACTGGGAAAGTCTTCCTTCTAAATTGTTCCACTCTGAGAAGAGGGATAATGCTAGTGTATGTTTTGGGAGAATACTCTCAGGGAGTATATCCCTAAGTGTCTGAGGCTGACAGGACAAAGTTTTCCTTCCCAGGGATCAACAAAACACAGGCCTAGATCCGTGCTGACATTCTGAAGGCCACATTTTTTTCTTTTTCTTTTTTTTAAGGATTGGGGATACTTGGGCCAAATGAGAACTATTTTAAGCGGTAACATCGGTTTCCAACTAGAAGGACATAATCTGTAAGTCCTGTCCAAAGCAAAATCAGGGAGTTCAGCTGGCACAGGAACGGGAGGGGCGTCCCACTCAGATGAAGAGACTGGAACAAGATGAGAGTTCTGATGGTCTTGGGGTCCAAAGCATCCCAGAGGCAAAGGATAACCAAGCATTACCCAGGGACAGGACAGTCTCATAGTTCATCCTCATGACTTCCCGGTAGAGGGCTTTTTGTTGCTCCGTCAGAACTTCCCACTCCTCATCAGAAAAATAGATGGCCACCTCATTAAATAGGGCTGGAACCTGGAACATGAACAGTACTTTCTCAATGACTGGTATGTACACACACACACACACACACACAGAACCTTACATACAGTGAGATTGTGCAGCCTCCATTCTTACAGGTCAGGTCAGGGCTTTCACTCAGGCAAAAGGTGTGTCTACATTATTATTGCTCTTGGGGACAAGAGCCCTCCTGTGTCCCGCCACAACAGCTACCACCATCAGGCTGGGGGACCCTGGACATCATCTCAGGTACTGTGTGTAATCTGCTCAGTTCTCCTGGGACTCCAAAGCCAAGAAGCCATCCACACCCCACATAAGTGTCCCCACAAAGATGTCCATCCTAACCTACACCTCTCCTATCAACTGGCCAGAGACCCTCAGCCCAGAGGATGGGGCTGTATCTCAAGCTGAATAGAATTACTGCTTTCTACGGCATTTTGTGGGTCACACAGATGTCTTATAAGTGAGCCAACCCTTCCAACTGTTGACTCAGGGCCAAAGCTGTTCTGAGGGGAGCCAGCCAGAGAAGGCCCCTAACTCGGCCCTTCCAATACGTAGGAGCACAAGTAGCAGAGATGGGCCAGTTTGAGCTCCACTTATGAAATGAGATCCCAGCAAAATGGTGGGCTTTTAGGCCCAGAGTAAGCTCCCCACTCCCCACCCCATTCTTCCAGCTTTCCTCTTTTTCTGGGTAGCAAAAGGAGGGAGTACCTTCCTAGCTAAAGATAGCCACCAACATGTCTTGTTTTTCCAACTGATTTGCTTTTTTTGCTGTATTTTCTTTTGTGGTCATTAAAAATCCTACTCCAAAGCTCCTAGTCAGTGAACTTGTTCCACACTGTCCACTTTGCATTCTCTCCTTCAAACTCTTCAAAGCTGTACCGTGGGCCTCGGTGATCATATTCTCTCCCCTTAGCTTAGGAAAGTCAGTATATACATGGCCTGCAGCCTCTTCAAGAGCTAGGCTGTGAATCACTCATACACCTGGCCTTTCTTCCTTATCAACTGGGCCTACTTACTACACTGCCACCGCCACACCACTTCTATTTAGGGAACATTTACTGGGAAAGGCTACTACTGCTGCCTGATTTCCCTCAATGATCTCACAGAAAGCAAAGGTACTCCAGTTTAGTGAGGGTTGGGGAATGGGCTCAGAGGACTCTTATTTCTGGGCAAAGACAGCCAATAAGTGGCAAGGTTGAAACATGGACCCAGCACTGTGAGTCCAAGGCTCACTAGAGAGGACAAAGCTTTTTCCCTGGGCATCTTCTGTCTGCTCACAGCTGTACTAGCTGCTCACCCGATGCCTCTTCAACTCTGCCCACCATTCCCCTTGGCCCTCGAGGGCCTGACTTTTATACCCACCTATCTTCAAGACCTAGCCCAGACTACCTTACTTCCCGGGCTGTGAGCACACCTACAGAGCACCATGCTGTCCTGTGCTTAGCACTCTGGTGCCTCATTGCACTATGCATCTCATTTCCCTTCTCTGCTCATCATGTAAATCTGACTTTGCTGAAAATAGCCTATGCTTACATTTCCCTAAGTCCAGGATGCTTCCTCTAGCTCAGTGGTTCTCAACCTTTCTAATGCTGTGACCCTTTAACACAGTCTCTCATGTGGTGACCCCCAACCATAAAATTATTTCAATGCTACTTCACAACTATAATTTTGACACTGCTATGAGTTGTAATGTAACTATCTGATATGTAGGGTATCTGAAATGTGACTCTATGAAAGGGTCACTTAACTCAAAAGGGATCATGACCCACAGGTTGAGAACTGCCGCTATAGCTGGTAGGCACGTACCGTGCATTACTGAGCAAGTGACTGAGGCAAATCTATTACTCTGGATTTCTCTTCTCTTGTCATTCTTGGAACAGTTTCAGAGAACTAAAGTTTCATCTGTCAAAAAAACAAGGCAACTCTCCGGAGTAAGAATGGACAAAAACTCTTTACGTCTGGAACGGTAGGAGGGGAAAATGCTGTGGTCCCTAGGCTTCTCTCAGACTTCTTCCTCAATCTGGAAGCCAGGCAGTGCAGAGGTTTTCCAGCCTGCTGTTCCTAACACCTGAGATTTTAAACAGCTCTCTCTTGGGCCCTTACAAGTTCCAGATCTAGGACAGAACTATTTATAGGACTCTTCCACTTGCTGATAGAAGAATGCAGGCCTAGTTATAGCAATCCCTGCAGAGCAGGTAACACATTCTAGACCTGGATAAGTGATGGCCTGTCCAGAGCTGGTGGGGGATTCATCTCTCCTAATTATCCCATGGCTAGAGGATCTTCACACAAGTCCACAGTAAGCACCCAAGGAACAGTACAGAGATTTAGAAGTCTCTTCAGAGCCATGTAAAGATGGGGCAAGACTTTGGGTCCTGTTATACAGGCCTTTTTTTGCTCCACAGGAGCCTTTCATTTGGTCAAACAACAGAAGGTAAACAGGGCTGGCTCTAGGAAAAACTGAGAAGCCAGGTAGTGTGTAGTTCAAGCGTCACTGTTCTTTGGCCTTGCAGGTAAGAACCTGCAATTCCTGTCCTTCCTCTCTCACATGATTAGGTACTCATCAGAGAGGTGTTCTTGAGCTCATGTGCATGATCTTGTTCTCCTAGAAGCTGGCTTTCCAATATTTACCTCCAAGCACAACCCTTCTGCAAAGTCCTTACAACTGCATGGCTTTACTAGACAGTTGACATCCAAGAGGAGTTGGAACCACTACACCAATGGAGCCTCTGCTAGGTCAGTACTGTTTAGGGCATTTCCATTCCTATATACATGATCTCTGACCTATTTAAATAAGCCATGGATATGAGAATTGCTATTGAACTTTTATGGTTAAGGAAACAGTGGCTAAGTAGCTTGGCTGACGTCATACAGTGTTGACTCAATGGGCCATGTAGGTCTTGCCATGGTATATGGTTTAAGACTCATTCCTCAGAGTTACTCAGGCCAGCTCTAACTACCCAGGAAAGCACACAGCGTTCCCTGGCCTACCTTTTTCCACTGCCTGTCTCGGACTTCAGGGGGCTTTTAGCTCTACCCACAGCTTCCCTCTCCCATGCCTCTGATCATGCTGTTCTCATCTAGAGAATAAACTCTCTCCCTTCCCTTTGCTCATCCCACTCATCATAAGGCTCAGTTCAAAGTTTATTTTTTTTCTATTTGAAACAGTATTTCTACTGAACACAGCTTATATGTGAGTAGTCCATATTAACCATCCTAATTATTGTCAAAATATACATTTAAAATGCAGATTCTATTTTTTCCTCCTCCTAATTTAATGTGCTATCTGTGTCTCAACCATATGCTGTTGACATTTCGGACTACCCAATTCTTTGTTATACGTGCAGGTACCTTCACCTGCATTACAGATGTATAGGGAGAGTCTTGGCTGAAATTGAAGATGCTATTAGGACCTCACACCCCAACCTCTACTTTGGGTAACAACAACTAAAATTGTTTCCATATACTGCTAAAGGTTCCGGGGGCAGGGGGATGGGGGCAAAGCTGTCCATGGCTTAGGACACAACAGGCCTGTCAACAGGCCTGAATGAGACGTCCCCGCTTCTGTCTGTGAGAGAATCCTGAGCTGACCTGTTAGGCTTGAAAGAAGCCTGTCTTGAGAGTCACAAGTCCCCCAGGAGACTGAGGACTGCATGAAGGCAGGGATCTTGTCTTAACACTATGCAGTAACTGAAGACTCACAGCAGACTTCCCAGAGGTTACAAATGGCAGAATCCCATTCCCACCCCTCAAGCTGCCAGGCTTCCTCTTCTAGCTACTCTACTCATTTCTTTCTTTCCTGGGCAAGGCATGCTCTTTACCCCTTTTTTTCTCATTTGCTCAACACAATCATATGTTTACTTTTACTGTGCCCCATTGCCACACTTCTCCAGCCTATTTAGATATACTGGGTTGTCCATTTTAGCCTCAGAATCCAGCGTTTCTACTGCTTTGTGGTCTTCCACAAGCTAGACAGGACTGACCCCTGTCTGAGTCACAACTGGGAGGACACGGTGGACAAAGAACATGAAGGGTAAAAGGCTGCACAACTTCGGAGCCAGGAGCCTAACAATGCACTGTCGGTCTATAGTGAGATATAACACAGAAGGATGTGCTATAGAAATGGCTGCAGCTTGGTAAGTCAGTATACACAGGGCTTTCCACAGGAAAGTATACAACCTTTTGGTACCTGAGGTTCCCTTTGGTTAGAGGGGTGGACTAGATAATCTGGAACAAGCATCTTTCTAGTTCATTGTCCCCAGCTCGGTGTTCTATGATGAAGAGCATCCCTCTCATAGGGCACAAAGGATATCATGTACTGATGATATTGATGTTTATAGACAATGAAAACCTAAGCAACATCAATTTGTTAGTCATACTCCATTTCCATGACCCCAGTAACTATTGTGAATAAATGTATTAAATCTTGTTCCACTTATACTTGGGTATTCCTTACAGCTTAGCATTTCCATTTACACCTAGGTGACAAATAGCTCTGGGTGCCAACTGTTATGCCTAAATTCTCCTCATGTCAGTTCAATGACCCAAGTCTTATATGTATCTGGCGCCTACAATATGTATGATGATGATGTTAAGCCAGGCACAGGAAAATGGGTGATTTAGTGACAAGAAGACAAGGTCTCAGCCTTGTTGCTGGAGGCCCTGTCTCCATCACCACCTCAATTATTTGCCCTGCCTTTTGGAGCCACAAGGCTGCTTTCTGAGGAATGCAAACACATGAGACTGGGCTATTTTTACTCCCCATGTCTGCCCCAGGAGGAGACCGAGAGCAAGGCCAGCCACATCCCACCCTTTCTTACTTACCCATGTGCCTTCTGAGCTGATCTGTACTTTCTGCATATGTATGGGGTCATCCTCCAATTCCCGGATCTGAATCTCTTCTTTTTGCTCTTCTTTCAGGGTCAAATTTAGAGGGTATGCTGGGGACTCCATCTCTGCACCCAAGATTTAGTAGGCAAACCAGGTGTCAGTGTGAACTTTTGGTTCGCGGCTGGGTACACACCAACCTGTTAAGTTCAAAGCATTGTCTGCTTTCAGCTAGAAGGGAGGGATTCAGGGAAGGTGGCTTATCTCATTATTATTAGAGGGGCCGTGGGCAGAGAATATATCTGGCTAGCTTCAAACACTGGAAAAGCTTTCTGTGACACGGAGACCAGACTAGTTTTCAGAGACCGTCTGTGCAGAAGGGCAGAACTGAGAACAGGGGGTGAGCATTCCAGGAAGAGGTGTGGAACAGTGCAGTGACAGGCAGAAGTTTCCCATTGAGTATTCACTCACAGGGAATCAGGGCCAGAGCAGAGTGGTGCTGATTTGCTACCCGTTCAAAGTGTCTGAGCCTACATACCACATTTGAATAGTTAGCCCCAAATACTCATCACCTGAATTTTCCAGATTTATAGGCGCTGTCCACAAGCCAGTTCGGAAACTTAAAGTCTTTCTGTCCTAAACGACCTCCCAAAGCCAAGTCGGTGATACTGAGATGGGTGTGCCTGGGTGTCAAGGAGGCCAACCGGGACCTGGCAGGACTCCTCGCCTCTGGGTCGCAAATTCTATTTGAAGCCTCCTCAGACTGGTACAAAGAGCTTCCCCCTAGAAGCCTGCTGGCAATTTCTGGGTGTGTGGTGAGTGTGCATCTCGCGGGTCCCATTTCCCGGGACTTCCAAAGCAAAGATCTTGGCGGAGTTCGGAGACAGCTTCCCCAATGTTTCCGGGGGGCGGGGGGCGGCCTGGGGAGGTAGGAACGCGCGTGAGCTCTCAGGAGCCCGGGCCTGAACTTGGCCGCGGCCTGTTCCCGCGGGGCGGGAGGTGGGAGGGGCCGGCGCGAAGGTGCCCGCCGCCGCCCCTGCTCGCTCCATCCATCTTGCCCCACCCTCTCTCGCCGCCCCCGCCCCTCCGTTCGGGTCCCCAGCACACCTGCGGGGCGGCGACATCCCGCGCCGCCCACCTCCCCGGCCGGCCCGCAACAAAGGCGGCGGCGGCGGCGACAGCTGCCATCTGCGGTCCCCGCCCCGCCGCGGCCCGGCCTCCCCCGCCGGCCTGGAGGACGAGCCGCCCCGGGCGGCCCCGCGGGCCGCGCGCACTCACCCCGGCCGAGCGGGCGGCGAGGGCTGTGGCCCGGCATTCAGCGCGCCATCGCGTCCGCCGCTCCCGCCGCCCCAGCGCGGCCCCGCGGGAGGGAGCGGGGACACGTGGTGGGAGGGGAGGGGAGGGCGGAGCCAGAGGTGTTAGGGGGCGGGCCAGGACCCGTGACGTCAGCAGGCCTCGACGCCGCTTCCGCTGACGTCAGCGCTGAGGGCCGCGGTGCAGGGCTCGGGAGTCGGTGGCCCGGTCGTCCGCTCGCTTGTGGCCGCCGAGGTGGGCGTTTGCTCGGCGCGACGCCGGCGGCCCCTTCGCTTGGGCGTCAGAAATGCTGCAGCCCAGCGTTCCTATTCTGTCCCAAACGCTGTTCCCAGCATACCAGCGAAGCCAACTTGAAGATTTTTGTAGTATTGCTCTTTAACTCCCAAGCGTGTAATCCCCTGGACGAAGTAATTGTGGAGAAGTTCTTTGCCTGCAGCTCTGTGAAGAATGTGGCAGCAGTGTTCCAAGGGACCTCGAAAAGCCTCCTCATTCCAGAAGAATATTCTTACAGTTTGATTTCTGTTTAAAAACAGAACGGACAAACAAACAAAAACACTTGCTACTTCTTGAAACACTAAGATTGAGTTCAACCAGGGGCCTGGTGATTTATAGCCAAGGAGAGGAAGGCGTGTGGATGTCTGGGCATGAAGAATTACTAAGAGGAATTATCAAAGGTTGAGGGATTCTTGCTAAGCCCACCGAACAGGATTCTTGTTGAGAGAAGGCCGGGCTGATCAGATATCAAGAGTGCTAAACTGACAGAGGGGGATTCTTACCTAAACTAGGCTGGGCAAGCAGATGATGGGGTGGGTACCAAACTCTGGTCCTCCTCACCACAGCCCCGAGGGAAGCTTTGTAAGGACATTTTAAACTTACTGCTTCTGCTTGCATATGCAAGCACATGATGTGTGTGTAATCACAAATGCCGTGACATAGACGGGCTGCGCTTTTGACACGCAGCATAGCTGACACACCTTTTGAATGTCCTTGTAGCTGACAGGAGCAAAGAGGGATTCATCACTGGATAGAGATTATTCAAATATTGAGAGAGGAGGTTAGGATTTCTTTGTTGTTTTAACAGACGTCTCTTTTGATGTGTAAATTTAATCCTTTAAAAGCAGGAGTGGCAGCTTGAATTTAATTTTATTTTTAACTTTGCTGGCAGTTTCCAAAAGTGAAAACGTTGTCAGGAAGACAGACAAGGGGCCTGGGGTCATTGAGGGCCTGGCACGTCAACTTCTTTCAAAAATGAATATATGTTCTCAAGTAAGAAAAAAGCAATGCCAAGTTTTAGTTTGTTGAGAGCTCCAATATAGGAAGAGGCTTCTCGGTGACCCATTTGAATCTTTAAAAATTTTTTTCATAAAGATATTTTTATGTGTATGACTGTTTGCATGTCTGTCTTAGTTTGCTTTCTATTGCTGTGAGAAAACACCATGACCAAAAGCAACTTGGGGAGGAGGGTCTATTTCAGCTTGGAAGTTGTAGTCTATCATGAAGGCAAGTTGGTGTAGAACTCACTGCAGGAACCTGGAGGTAAGAACTGAAGCAGAGGTCAGGAAGGAGTGCCATTTACTGGCTTGTTCCCATAGCTTGCTCAGTCCACTTTCTTATACAGCTCAGGACTGCCTCCCAGGAATGACACCAGCCAGCAGGCTAGACCCTCTCAAATCAATGAATCATCAATAAATCAATAATCAAGAAAATGGCTCACAGAGTTGCCTTTAAGTCAGTCTGAAGAAGGCAATTCCTCAATTGCCATTCCTTCTTCCCAGATAGGTCTTAAGTTTATGTCTAGTTGACAAAAACCAACCAGCACAATGTATGTATGTACACTATGTGTCCATGGAGGTTTGAAGAGAGCACTAGATCCCCTGGAACTGGAATTACAGATGGTTCTGAACCACCATGTGAATGCTTGGAACTGAACGCAGGTCCTTTGCAAGAGCAACAAGTACTCTGAGTTGCTGAGCCATCTCTCCAGCCCCTTGAGTTCTTCCTTTGAAACCACAGTCCTATGCTTTCACTATTGTTAAGGGACCCAACTTTAGGGGCTTAATTGCTAAGAATGCTTACTCAGAACAGGTACAGGTACCTTTTTGGAACAGTGCATTGCAGACATGAATGTTGGAGTAGTTCTCTAAGCCTAGTCACTTCTTTCTGCTTCGCTTTCCTCAACCACTAAGAAGAATTTCTCAGCTTTCCCTCTGATTCTCAGTCCAACTTCACCCAAATGGGGAGTGTCTGAGGCAAATCCCTGAGACAGTGTCTGCCTGCAGTCATCTGACAGCATAGGTTTCTGCTAGAAGGTGCTTTATATCTCAGCAGAATGCCTGTGTAATCAGCATAATGAATCTTTAGGGATGCTGTCGGTCTGATTTCATCCTGATTCCTATAGATTATAGCAACATCATAACATAAGATTCCAAAAGGCAGGGCTGGAGAGAGGGCTCGGTACTTAAGAGCAAGTGTGGGGACAGCTAACAAGCTGGCATGGTTCTGTGCAGCCTGTAATCCTGGCACCTAGGAGAGCAGAAACAGGAAGTCCACTGAGGCTCACTGCCTTCCAGCCTTGGAGAGAGGAAGGGAGGGCTAGGACACAGACATGGGTGCGCACGCGCGCGTACGTACACACACACACACACACACACACCCCATAGCTTTGGAGAGGGTATAGGGAGGGCTAGGACACACACACACACACACACACACACACACACACACTTTAAGTTCAGGGAGAGACCCTATCTTACAAGGAATAAGGTAGAGAGTGGCAGAGGAGGGCTCTGTACCTCCTTCTCTACACCCAGCTCCCACAAGTATCCCAAAGCTTCAAATCCCACAAAATATTTTTAATTCAAGTGCTGGGGGTTGTTCTTACTGCGCAAGATCTGATTACACCCATCCTTGTTTTGTAAACCTGCCCAAGACATACCTGAATGGTTGATTAAACAGCCTATACCTGGGCAGAGCAGAATGGGGTAGGCATGCCTTAAGTTTCCTGGGCTTCAGGGTCAAGAGAATCATGGAAAACAGACTGAAGGGAAGAGAGGAGGAAGGAGCACCCCACAATGGGTTAGGTGAAGAAGAAACCAGGTAGCCTGGGAGGGGGAAGGACTCCAATAATGGCTTGAAAAGACCCAGATGAAGAAAACAAGCAAGTACCATGGGATTATGGATGGAAGGTAGACCAGATGAGGAAGATTAAGGTGGGTGGCATTGGATGGAGGTTGGGAGATGGATGGTGAGATACTGAGACAGTGTAAGTGAAATATCTGCCCAGCCCAAGGTAAATGAGGCAATTATAAAAGCTAACAGGTGTCTGTGTCTTATTATTTGTGATAGCAGGTTAAATAATACTGCCGTGATAATCTAAGGGCTAATAATAAGACACAGCCCAACACTCATTTTTTATTTACTGCAACACTGAAGTGCCTCTGATTAATATGCCTTTCTGACTTACCTTTTTCAGTGGAGGCTCTATAATCCTTAGATCAGCATGGCTTCTGGCCCACTTTATCCTATTCTCTGGTATTTTGGCAGATTGTGTTAATAGACTTGGTCCTTTTTGTCCCCATAGTACTGTTGTATCTTGTGCCACTGCTGAGGTGTTGTGTGCAGCATAAACTTCAGTGCCCCTTCACTTGGCCTGGCCATGAGCTACAGTTTGGCTAACTGAATGTGAGTAGAAAGGACTCCTGAGCAGAGATTTTAAGAGGGTTAATCTGCTTCCAGGTGAACCTCTGAGACTTGATGACCTTTGCCATGACAAAAACATTGACTTCACTGTCCTTCATTCTTGGTGTCTTAGTTCCTTTTCGGTTGCCATAAAATGATCCCATGACTAAGGTGAATTATAGAAGAAACCATTTATTGGGCTTACAGTTTCAGATAGTCCATGACCATCATGGTGGGGAGCATGGCGGCAGGCAGGCAGGCTTGGTGCTGTGGGGTAGCCAAGAGCTTATATTCTTCTCTGCCAGTGGGAGGCAGAGAACTGAGAATTTCACAGGCTTTTGAAACCATAAAACCTGCCCCTAGTACAGCCCACCTCCAACAGAGCCACACCTGCTAATCCTTCCTAAACAGTTCCAGCAACTGGAGAACAAGAATTCAAATATCTAAGCCTATGGGCCACCCAGGAAACATTCATAACAACTTATTCTATACCCTATGAGTGAGGATTACACCCAAAGGTTTATATATTTGATTTCTTGGTTCCAAACAGTTGGTGGAACTGTTTGAGAGCGATTAGCAGGTGTGGTTTTCCACCAGTACATTTAAAAAAGAGCCATGCTCTATGATTTATATTCTGTTACTTTAAAATATACTTTAAAGTACAAAACTGTTACCATGTTAGAACACGGCATCTGGAATGACCTAAATTTTCCCAGGGCATAGACACTTCAGAATAAACTATTCCTTATTCCCTTTGCAGTGAGAGTTGCATTTTTGTTTTGACACTACTGGTATTCTACAGGACAAACATTTCTGGGGTCAGGCACAAAGTTAAAAGATACAGAAATGCATTCTTCCGCCCATGAGGCCACAACGAAAGTGTCAAAAAATAATACTGACACAAGGGAATGAAAATTCAAGAAAAATAATTTGATTTACAATATTATCTCTGAGCTCCTTCATCCAAAAATGTATCCACACCCATCCCAGTGTCCCCCAAAGCCTCATCTAATCATGGCATCAACACAAAGTAAATATTTTGATAGCTTTTATTAAGTTTACTGGATAAATTTATGAATTAAGAAAATGACTTGGGGACAGGATGACAGAAATAATTATTTCATTTGTAAAAAGGGGAACCGTATAAGTTTAAATAGTCATATTCATAACAATTCTGAATTTCCAGTGGACAAATGTTGATGGATCTCCTTGCTCTGGAAGTATAGATTGTCTGATGGTCCCTGGTTCAGATCTTTTCTGAGAATGATACCAAAATCCATTATTCTTCAGCACTTTGTATTTTTGTTCTGGGAGGTCCCTTATCATCCCTCCTTAGCTCTCCTGCAGAGGACACTGGGGAATGCATTGCTCTTGCCGA